TCAATTTTTTTTTGTGGGGGGAAGGTCGGGGAGGGGGCGTGGGTGATCGAGGATCGGGATGAAAAAATAAAAAATTGAAGTTGAATTTGTTTTAAAAAAACAATACAAAAATTGATGGGGGGACGAGGGTAGTGGGGGGGTAAAAAATAAAAAATTAAAATTAGAAATATCTTTTAAAAATAATTTTTAATATTTTTTTGGTAGGGGGTGAGGGTGGGGTAAAAAAATTGAAGTTGAAAAATATTTTTTTAAAATAAGCTTTAAATTTATTTTTTCAACAAAAACAAATGTTATTTGAAGTTGGAGGAAAGTTTTGGAAAATGTTTTCCTTAATTTTTGAAGGGATGTCATTTTCCTTAAATTTGAGAAAAATGAATTGATTTGGAAAGCATTTACCCAACCAAACATGAGAAAATTGGAAAACATCTTCATACCAAACACACGTATGAAGGTGCAAATGTTTTTCAATTTTCCCCATGTTCAGTTGGCTGATAGGGGTGAATCTACATGGATCCGAGGGGGTTCGAACCCCCTCCGTTGAAAAAGTTACACGATATATATAGGATCAATTTTTCGATTTACATGTATATATCAAGTGATGAACCCCTTGAACATTTCAACATAAGCTAAGTGTTGGTTCAGTGGAAAAGGGGGTTTCAACCGATTTTCATTTTTATTTTCTAAATAAATGAAACATTTGTTTTGTTTGAAAACCTATTGGGATTTATAATATTTTATTAGATATTAAAAAATAAATTTCTTTTCTATTTTTATAAAATTAAGTAAAACTTATAACGTTTTTTAAGTTTTCATAATTAAAATTAAAAATACATTCTCTCATACTCATTTTAAGTCAAACATTTAATTTATATTTGATTAAGGAATAACATAATTATAAGTAAGATTAAATAAATAAGAGTAATCATTTAAAATTTATAAATAAATACGATTGTCGCGATATTTTTCAATCTTGATAATTATTTTCTCGACGTGAATTTTATTGCTACAATATGATCGGATTCAGAAGTATTCCTTAGTTAGTTTCAAAAATTGAATGGCGTTTATATACAATAATGACAGAGACAAGACCCATAATTATGTTTTAAAAAATACATCCTCTCATACTTATTTTTATGTTATGTCAAACATATACTTATTCAATTTTATTGTTTGTGTTGAGGTAGAGTTGAATTTTTTTTAGTTGCTTATATCTAATCCGACCCAATTATATTTGACCTGCCCCGCCCACCCCACTCGCCCCGCTTATATGGATACTATTAGTATACTTACTTATCTTTTTGAACCCCCTCGATGAAAATTCTGCCTCCGCCACTATTGGCTGAAATGTTTAGGAAAATGTTTTTCAAATCAACTCATTTTCCTCAAATTTAAGGAAAATGATTTCCCTTTAAAAATTAAGGAAAACATTTTCCAAAACTCAACTTCATCCTTCAATGTTTGTTTTTCTTATCCTACCTTGTACGCCGTACCCGACCCTCCCCATAAAAAAAAAGGTTAAAAATTTTACCCACACCAACCACCCCCCCCTGCCACCCCCACCCAAGCCACTCCGTCAAAAAAAATATTTAAGAAAATTATTTTAAAAAATATTTCAAATTTAAAAAAAAATTATTTTTTACTCCAACTCCCCCCCCCCCCCCCCTAAAAGAATGTGTTTTTGAAAAATATTCTCCTAGGTTAGGTCCTAGGTCGAAAGTCTGGGTTAGGTCTGGATCAAATCTCAGGGTGTTTTGTCCTAGTTCGAGTGTCAGGGTGGGGTGCAAGATCAATTATCGGGGTTGATTTTCGGATTAGAAATTATTTTCTTAAAGAGTATTTTCTAGTTTCAAGTCAAAAAATAAAAGATATTTTCTAAAAAGTTTCATTCACCAATCAAACATTAAAAAACCTACTCACCAACCAAACATAAGAAAATAAGTTAGAAATCTACTTATTTTCCAAGAAAATATTTTCTATGAAAACATTTTTCATGGAAAACATTCTCTTTCGCACCCATAGAAATCCAAAACAAGGAGATTGTAAAAAATTGGGACAGATGAAATGAATAGTTTCTTAAGAGGCCTAAATAAGATCTTCAGATACATGAATAATATTTACTCTTTACAGTAGCTGGAAATTACAATTTGGCTCTTTTACCTAATAAAGAATCAATTATTATGTTACCTAATCATGGTCAAAGATAAATTGGTATTCAGAAAAAGTATGGCCATGTTATGTCCGTTCATTTTGATACATACCATAATTAAGAGTTGTCTAACTTTAAAATAAAATCCTTATTTATACCCTTTCAGTTTCCACCTTTCAAAGTCATATTAACAATTGAAACTCTAAGCATTAGTTTCTTTGAGAGTCAAATGGATACTCAACCAAGGAAAAATCTTGAGGTTTTCGCTGAAGTAAAGAAGCTGTTGGCATTGGCAATGCCACTAATGTTAGTACATCTACTGTTGTTTTTCTTACAAGTGATTTCAGTGATGTTCGTTGGTCATCGCGGAGAGCTAGCTCTTTCCGGTGCATCCTTGGCTACTTCCTTCGCCTTCGTGACTGGCTTCAGCTTGTTGGTTAGTACTTCTTTTTACTTCATCGGTTGTTATACAATTCTTTTGCTGGTGATTGATCATCAGGTTGTTTTAACAGTTGGGAATGGGAAGCGCGCTGGAGACACTTTGTGGTCAAGCATATGGTGCTACACAACATCACATGCTTGGCATATATATGCAGAGTGGGATGGCTGTTAGTCTTATGGTCAGTGTACCTATTGCCTGCATTTGGGCTAATGCAGGACGGATTCTTGTTATCTTGAGACAAGATCCAGAAATAGCAGCTGAAGCAGGAATATATGCACGGTTCATGATACCGAGCATCTTTGCGTATGGGCTGATAGAATGCCAGATTAAGTTCCTACAAACTCAAAACATCATCAAGCCCATGATGCTTACAACAGGAATCACTTTGTTGCTGCATGTTTTGAGCTGCTGGATTCTCGTTCTCAAAACTGACCTTGGAAGCAGCGGCGCTGCTCTGGCTAACGCTTTGTCTTACTGGATTAACATGTTCTTGCTAGCTGCTTATATCAGAATATCGCCTTCTTGCGAAAGCACTTGGACCGGATTTTCAAGAGAAGCATTGTCTGATATCCCAAGATATCTTAGACTAGCAATTCCTTCAGCTCTAATGAGTTGGTATTCCTCTGTTGCTTTTTAATAAATGAGTAATGCATTAGATTATAGTTCCAATTTGACTATTTCCATCTTTTGAAACAGCTCAGAGATATGGTCATTTGAGATGCTGGTTCTTTCGTCTGGACTTCTTCCGAATCCTAAACTAGAAACCTCAGTTCTGTCAATCAGGTTTGTTCATTCAGTCACACATTACCCTCTCATGTTTCTATCATATTTCACTCGGCCTAATGTTACTTTTTCTATATTTACAGCCTTAATACATCAGCTGTGTTCCATACGTTGTCCGAAGGACTAGGTGGGGCTACAAGTGTGAGAGTGTCGAATGAACTAGGAGCTGGAGAACCACAATCAGCCCGTGTTGCAGCACGTGCTGCAACACTCTTAGCTACTGGAGAAGGCACTCTAATAGCTGTTTTCATGATCTTGGTTCGAAAAGTATGGGGCCATTGCTACAGCAATGAAGCAACTGTAGTGAGATATGTAGCAGAAATGCTATTTTTTATAGCAGGTTCCCACTTCATAGATGCGCATAAATGTGTAGTTACAGGTATTGCTAGCGGGTGCGGATTGCAAAAGAAAGGTGCGTTTGTCAATTTGGGAGCTTATTGCCTGTTGGGACTGCCTACTGGTATGGTGTTAGCTTTTGTCTACCATATCGGAGGAAAGGTATTATCTATTACACATTTCATTGAATTGAATTGTTATTGCACAACTGATGATACTCATACTTTTCCAATCATACTGTAAAGGGACTATGGTTGGGAATCATTGTGGCTCTTTCTGCACAAACACTGATTTATTTGGTTGTTGTTCTGCGGACAAACTGGGACAAACTGGTAACTTTCTTTGTTCAGTTATCTCTTCTCAAAGGAAGACATATAATACATAATCTGTTGTATGTTTTGTAGGCAATGAAAGCAGCAGAAAGGATATCTTCGTAATAGGGGCCCTCTTTTGTGAAGAGTTGTCTGCTATGCAGTTCCTTGCCCAGAAATCCAACTCTGTGATCACGAAGACTATGCCCAAATTGCAAGATTAGACATTGGTCTCTCATTTTTGCTAAGATTGCAATAGGCTAATAGTTAGTATAAGTAGTAAAGATTATGATTAGTTTCCTTAGCTTGCTTTGATGAAGAATACTAGGCTAATGTACTTGAATGCTAATTTATATTTCATGGAGTTCTTGCTGAGTCGAGAAATTCCTTCTCAATTTCCTTGAGCCTTTCTGTGTTGATTGATACCAAACACGACTCCTTTTTATGAACAAAATCTAGATTTAATATCTAACTAATGCTTCAAAAACATATGGTGAGTTAACAGTGTTTAGACTATCAGATAAAACACACAAAAATGCTATATGGGGTGAGTTGAAATTTTTCTGGTTAAAGCTCAATCGTCGCCCTTTCCATTGCCATCCTAATCAAGTGTCATTCTGCATTTTCTTCTATGTTAACTAGCTCTGGAGCCACCCTATCAGCTGCTTTATTTGCCTACAAAACTCAAAAAAAAAACCTGCATTACTACTGTGTTGAGACATAATATAATTAAGTAATTAAACGTGATCGTTCTTCCATTTAAATTTTATGATGAGTTGGTAACACAATTCAAGAATATAGCCGAGTTAAACATGAATTTACCTCTTTTTCCCAATTTGTCTGCAGAGTAACTACAAAAAGAAGTAGTGCTTGTGCAAAAAGGGCAAGAGTGATACCCAACCATAGTCCCTGAAAATCATATCATCGTAAGATATTTCCATAGTTCCGAATATGGAAATTCTAAGTAAATGAGAAGCTTGAAAGAGTACGGACGTACCTTTCCACCTATATGGTAGACAAAAGCTAATATAACACCAGCAGGTATTCCGAAAAGGTAATAAGCTCCCAAGTTGACTACTGCCCCGATCTTTTGCCATCCACACCCTCGCGCAGTACCTGTATTTTGATAGGTGATAAGGTCATCTAGTCATTTAAACTCTAGTGGAAAACTCAACCATGGGGGTTTGCGGATTTAGAAGAACTCAGTGTTTCAGGGTCGAACCATATATGTATGTGTGTGAAAAACAAATATAGAATGGGTTCTTGAGTTCAAAAGTGTTGCCAGGTGTGTGTCAGATCCTTCAGAAGTAGTACATTTTTTGAGTATTCGACACAGGTGTGACAACATTTTTGAACGTACCCGCCTATAGCCTCCTCAAGCCTTGTGTTAAACAAATCACAGAATCATAGTCCAGATTCATGAAACACAGCAACAGGAAACTCGTATTGTAAAATATTGGACGAACCTGAAAGTACAGATTGTATACCATCTAAGAAGTGGATCCTGCTAGCAAGACTAGCATTTCTGCTACATATCCGACTACTTCTTCCTCGGTGCTATAACAGTAGCCCCACAGTTTACGAACCGAAATCAACACAATTGCTGCAACAACCCCTTCTGTAGCCACCAATAATACTGCAGTAGTAGCTGCTAAACGAGCTGCTTGAGGTCGTCCTGCGCCTAGTTCATTTGAAACTCTTACGCTGAGGAGGAAGCCAATTAAGTATACAAACTAATGAAGAACCATATAAACGAAAATGCAACAGAAGGGGATTTTTAAATGCTAAGAGATTCACCTCGTGGCGCCGCTTAGTCCTAACGGAATCATATACACCATAGCACATGTATTAAGGCTGAAACATTTCAAAATTAACAACCCTTTGAAACACTAAGATGTCAGCTTGAAATTAGTATTTAACATGACATAAGAAGAACTGCAACCTGATAGAAAGAACCGACGTCTCTAGCTTTGGATTCGGAAGAAGTCCAGACAACAGAACCATCATTTCAAATGACCAAATCTCTAAGCTGTGTCAAGAAAAGTAAAATACTCTGATCCGTTAGTTTCATTTTGAAAGGACGAATATATGTTTACGTAGATTAAGAACACTACCAGAGCATAACAGCAGAAGGAATGGCAAGTCTCATATATTTCCATATATCATGAAATGCCTCTTTTGAAAATCCAGTCCAAGTGTTTTTGCAAGAAGGCGATATTCTGACATATCCTGCTAGCAACAAGAGATTAATCCAGTAGGATATCACATTAGCAAGAGCAGCACCCTTGTTGCCTAGGCCAGATTTAAAGCCCAGAATCCAACAAGTGAATATATGCAGTAAAGTAGTGATCCCCGCGCTGAACATCATGGGGATCACATTGTTTCGTGCTTGTAGAAATCTATTATGACACTGGAGAAGTGCAAAGGCGAAAATAGTTGGAATCATATAGCGCATAACTTCCTGCTTCAGCTGATATTTCCGGATCTTGTCCAAATAATACGAGAAGATGCCCTGCATTAGCCCAAATGCAGGCCACAGGAACACTAGCCAGTAGAAGAACAAGCATTGCCCTTTGCATATGGATACCAAGCATATGATACTGCTTTGCACCATATGATTGCCCACATAAAGTATCCAATGCACTTCCCATTCCCATCTACGAAATTCAGAGATGACAAAATGCCACTTAAGTTTGTATCAAATAACTAAAAAAGTAAATTTCTATGAACTCCATATGTATCAATTCTGGATGCAGGTAAAAGCATCTACTAAATCAAAACCTATGCAACATGTCCTCAAGTGGATGGTTGAGTGGTTTAGGCAACATACAGTATTTATACATAAAACTAAAATTTTAAGCTAGCTAAACAGTGTAACTTTTCGATAAGGTGGCTCCACCACTCTTTGAAGGATCTTCTTGAAACACTTAATTATCATGTTCGACATGGTAAAAGTCCATTTAAGATTTATCGATACGATCATATTAGTAATCAAACACCAAGAGCAACAATAAGAGATGACAAATGACAATAAGGAAAATGAAAAAAGGACTAACCATCAAGCTTAGGCCAGTTACAGAGGCAAATGAAGTAGCCATTGAAGCACCAGAAAGAGCTAACTCTCCAAGATGACCAACAAACATTATAGATATCACCTGTAAACAATAAATTAAAAAGTTAACTGTCATAAGTGGCCCTGCTAATATCAATAACCTCTTCATTTCTTCCAAAATCTCATTTTTCTTGTTCTTTGACTCTTCTTCCTTAACAGTTTCTCTAATCAATGGACACTCAATATCTTGTGTATCCATTTGTCTTTCTCAAAGTCTTCCCTACACAAAGCAATAATTTTACAACAGAGGATATGTACTCTAGTGCAATAAAAGCTAGCTTTGTTTGTATGTATGTCCACCCCATGGGGGACAAAGTTATCCTTGGTACTAGTGGGAGGTAGTAGGTATCTGTGGAATTAGTCGAGGTGTTTGCAAGTTGACACGAATATCATGGTTATGAAAAGAAAAAGGTAGCTTTGTTGGTATGTCCACCCCATGGGGGACAAAGTTATCCGATATTGGAATTGGTGGGAGGTAATAGGTATCAATGGAATTAGTCGAGGTGTGTGCAAGCTGACACGGATATCATGGTTATGAAAAGAAAAAGGTAGTTGTGTTGGTTTGTTCAAGATTTGGTTTCATACTTATGCTGATGGGAAGTAACAGGTAGCTCTTAAAATTAATCAAGGTGCGTGCAACTCGGTGCAAGTTGTCTCCAATGATATGATTATCAAAAGAAAAAAACTACCTTGTTAAAATGACTCGAATCAATGAACGGGTCATGATCCAACTTGTTCAAAATTTAATTTGCTTAGGTAAAAATGGGTTGAATCAATAGCTTGTTAGTGTTGTTCAAGTCTTGGTAGACAAAGTTATTCGGTGTTGTGTTGATTTTATGACTAGCCATGACACCACAAAAGTTTTATTTGTTTGCTTTTGTGTATGTTATTCATTAGATTTTCCCCATCATGTATAACCAAGAATAATTACAACTTTGATGAGCGTCTTACCATATTTTGCGAGGCGGGTTTAAAACACATAAAAATGTTATGTGGGCCGGGTGGGCTGGGCTAAAAAAAATTGTGGGTTAAAACTCAACCTACCTTGCCCTGTCGTGCCTCGCTCCATTGCCATCCTTATTACAAATGCTAGGAATATGTTTTTGAAAAGTTATTCTTTTTCATGTCTGCCCTAACAGCATCTGACATTGCAAAATGGGTAGAAATTTGGGAGATTTGAATTGATAAGGTGATTTGCTTTACCAAAAGATTAAAGTGGTTCTGCCCTACACTAACTTTTAAATAATGTTATGCATTATTTGACTTTGGATTTTTGATTTGTGACTTTGGAATTTCAGGATATATCCAAAAATTCCAATTTTTCATACCTTATATTTATTCGTAACGATTAGTCTATGTTGTTTTACAAAAATGGAAAACTCATGGGAATCGACCATAGTTTTGAACACAAGTATTTTAGGTGAAGCGATTCTTGGCGTAATGATAAAAGTTATTTTTGTGTGGCTAAAAAGTCAAGAGTTCCAATTTAATTACTCATCAAATAAGATATTTTTCCCTAAAAAGGAAGACAATGCATTGTGTACAAAACACACATAGTAATAAATCATTGAATTCCCTTTCAAGGGAATTTCACTAGCAAGAGGTGATAATTAAGAGGTTTTGATCAAAATAAGCTATTTTAAAAATCAATTCACCAAACTAATACGCTTTTAAATTTTTTTACAAAAGTAGTATAAAC